ATTTACATTATTTTTACTCTTTTTGACGGGCACAATGTTTAACATATTACCCACCCTTTCGTGTTTTGTTTTATATATGTGTGTGTGTGTGTGTGTGTGTGTATATTTCTTACTTGTGAATAGATTTTGGAGATAATCCCATCTACATGATTCACTTAACCATTTCCATACTGATGTGCGTGTAAGTTACTACTTTTATTGTTTCTTCTGTCAATTCCTGCATTTGCAACTTTTTCTTCTTCTTTGGTTTGAGCCAGTTCTTTACAATAGTCTTTGTCCACCTTAAAAAGGTCCAGAGTTTCCAGGAGCTTCTTTTGCCTCCCGGAAGTTAAATGCTGACACACCTCCATGCATAATCTTGAGGGTTCCCAGAATGGGCAGAAAATAGGGAAGAAATCCCAGCAACTGGGTAAGATGGCTTTGTCATTCTCTTCTGGAGGTTCCTGTAGCTCACCTAGGATGCTCAGAGTGAGGACCCAAAATGTTGCTTTCACCTGTCCCCGTCTCCACCTCCACATACACTGATGGTACTCTCTTCCACCCCCAAAGCCAATAGGGTAGTTAACATCCTTTTTTCCAGCTCCTAGATTGTGCATCCCCCAGGCAGTCTCTCAACTCCTCAGCTCGGTTCCAGTTCAGATGAACTTGAAGCCACAGCTGCAGAGTTACTATGACGTTGTACCTGGGAGCCTGGGTCAGGGGGTCTGTAGAAACACCTGCTTGGAAATCCTCCCTTCTGTATGACACAGGCTCTCTGTGCTCATGACCTCTGACTCTGACTCACATGCTTCTCCCAAGAAGCATAAAGATGATAACCATCAATTATAGAGCACCCACTTGTTACCACCTGCTGCAGAGCAACTGACACACTCTACGTCACTCAGTCTCCATGACACTGCCAGGCAAGTGATGCCACATTCAGCCCATTTCACAGATGTATAAACTGAGACCCAAAATGCTAAAGTAGTTGTAGCTAGTAAGGCAAGAGTGGAATTCAAACCCAGATCAGCCCAGGTCCAAAATCTTTGCTCCTAAACCATACTGCCTATAGCAGCTGTCCCCTTAGCTTAGCACAGTACCCAAACACATATTAAGTGTTCAATAAAAATATGCTGAAGGGAGAATAAATTTTTTTAAATGATTGTCAATGGCTTCATAATAAAAGACATTTGATTCAGATTTAGGGAAGCCAATTTTTATGCAGAGTGCAAATAGAAACCCTCTTCAATAGCTTTGAGAATTTTTAGCAATTTCAGGTATTTCCCTAATACTTTGTTTTGAAAATCAACAGTGTCCCCTTGGAAAGAGAAGCAAGAGGTGTGGCCTTGCCTGGGTCTCCCCAGCTTTTCAATAGGTGTGATTTAGTTGTTCTGTATATTGCCCTCTGCTGTAGGTCTGGAGACTTGGGGGCCCTATTCATGGTAGAAGAAGACACACTAGAGTAACAAATAGTCTTCCATATCTAGGAAAGTCTGTTGTCCAAAATATCACACCTGTTGACCCTGGCACTCCACCTCCCATGTGCCGTTCCTTCAGGTTAGGCATGACTACCACCCTACTGCCACTTTTACCAAGCACATCCCCCAGGAGCGTGTGACAGGTAAAGCCATGATTCTTATGACATATAAGATGGGGCAGATATTATTGCCCTTTGGGCAGCTAGAAGTAAAAGCTTTGGCCATAAGATACACACCTTCTAAAATGTCCCAGAACCCACACCAGTGAGGTTTTCAGTCAGAGCAAAAGTCAGAGTGAACCAGGCTGGCAGAGGGAGATCCTCAGTGCCTGAGTTTACACACCTCACTGGGGTTTTTTCTTAGCTGGACTCACCTAGATATTTTCTGGGGGATACCTCGGAGGAAAGAGTCACATGAGAAAGAAAATAAAGAGAGGGCAATTATGTTCACTGCTTGTGAAATGCTGAGCTAGAGGTTTTACATCCATTATCTCTGTTAGTCCTCAAAACATTCCTGTAGGTCTCTACCACTCTTCCAACTGGACAGATGGAGCAACGGAAGCTCACAGAAATAAAGGGACCTGCCCCAGGCTGCCCAGCCTACCAGTGGTATTTGCACAAGCAAGATCTTCCAGGTTCCAGAGACCTTGTGGTTTCCAAAACTTTCCATGGAGAGGGCAAATACCTAGTCAGCCACAGAGTCTGGGGGTGGCTACCAGATTACAGAAGAAAGCTGTAGGAGGAGATGTCTTGGATGAGAGAAAAAGGCAGAAATGAGTAGAAGAGAAAAAAAAAAGAAAACTTTCCAAATTTTTGTGGGTTTTAGAATTTAATGATCAACGTGGGTTGAAGAGGGGGAAAGATGAGGAAGTGAGCTCCCAAGAGCCTGAAAATTGTTTCCTGAATTTTCTGGTTACCCATGGTCAGCTCAAGAGAGCAAAAACAAAGCCAAAAAATACACAGAGAAAAGCCAAAGGGAACTGGATTTTGAGAGGAGGTGTTTAGGGAGCAGAAACTTCTCCTGGGCATGGCTTTCCCCACAGATAGGCCCAGAGTCCACTGGGTCTTTGCTTTGGTGATGGGCCTGAGGCTGCTACTCTGGCTTTGGACTTCCTTCCAGGTATAGGAATGGGTTTGTTGAGGTCAATTTCCATGTGAACATTATTTCCAGGATCCCAGCTGTGCTTGGCTCTGGTGCCCAGTTCTGTGACCCAGAAGGGTCACATCACAAGAATGTTCATTGGAGAACAGAGCCTCAGTTTGGTCCTTTGTAAAATGGCTATAACCACACCTTCTTCTCAAGGATTTCTATATGAGGATTAAGCCTTATAAACTGCAGAGAACTCACAGTTGTCAAGTCTTAGTATCATTTAATAAAGTGAATTAGAAAGTAAAGACTTGAAAAAAATGCTAAGAAATCAAAAATAAAAGATTTCCAATCTGTGAAACCACTGTCCCTCACTTCTTTGAAAGTCTGCCACAGTGTTGCTGAAAGTCCCCTTGGAGAAAACCAAATGACTGCTGTACAGTCCTGGAACCTGTACCTGAAATGAAAGAACAATTGTTTCTATCAAGTTACAGCTTGACCACAGATCACCACATTCTCTGTTATAAAGGCTTGGCTCAGACACAAACTCTAGGCAATGTGTTTTCCTGGATAAGGAATCCAGGAAGAACCACTGATGAAAAAGATAGTTAACTGTTTCTGGGTTTGTCTTGTTTTCTCCTTGACAGCCATGGGCTCACCAAAGGAAATAATTTTCTCAGACATCACTGAAAACTCAGCCACTGTCAGCTGGATGGCACCCACTGCCCAGGTGGAGAACTTCCGGATTACCTATGTGCCCATTACAGGAGGTAAGGGGCTCCGGGGGGGAAGGGAGAGCAGAAACGGGGAGGGTTTGGGTGGAATAGTTGAAGAGGCTCTGATAATTCCTATCCCCAAAACATTATGACCAAAGAAAACTACTTTCTTATCTATGAGACCATCTGGAGAGACTCCATGTGTAAAATATGACATGCTTGGAAGAGACTACCTTGTGAAGGGTCAATTTATAAAGATCCTTTCCAGGCCTGAAATTCTAAAATTCTATGAGAAATAGACCCCCAGTTGTTTGTGCACAATGATAAAATACTCTATATACGTAAGCCATTTTGTCTTTGACCATACTTATTGGAAAAGCTAGTCTTGGATATATGTGAGGATCTGCCCTTGGGTGTCCAAATCTATCTGTCTCAGTACAGAATGGGCAGTTGTGACTTAGCAGAGTTGTGAGTTCTGGTTGAGAGCATACGGACTACAACAGAGGCCACAGGGACGAAACACAGTCGAATCTGTCTAGACATCCGGGCGGGTAGTAAGCTCTCTGTTACGGGAAGTGTATAAAGAGAGAATGGTTGATAACCTCTTCAGAGGAACACTAGCATCTCTGTGGGGAGTTTAACCAGCTGATATGCAAATTTCCCACCCGCCTTGAAATTCTAAGAAATATAAATTCCGGACTTCTTAATATAAGAACACACACTTGACTATGACCATTGTTTTTTCTTAAGTAGAATTTCTGCTAGTAAGGGAGTCTATATAATCCTAAACCAAGAAGATGAGTTAAATAGATCAGGTACACATTACATAGTGAGCTTCCCATATTCTTTGTGGGGAATAAAATAAAGAAAATAAAATTTATACCATATGCCAGCTCTCTACTGAACGAAAACTTGCCATTTTTAGTGCGTTGTGACATCATGTTTTTTCCTCTCCTGGCTTGGTTTTTGGCATCTGCGCCAGTAGGAAAAGCATTCTACAAAAAGTAAGGCCTCTTCCCTTATACCAGAGGGTAGAAGCAATTGAGAAGAAGTCAAGCAAATGATACTGAATAAAGATATAGTTTCATTTCCAACTTGTAAACAGCCAACAACAATGAATAGGCTTCCATGAGATCCACCATTCCTGATCTTGCTTTCACTGTGTTCCAGGTACACCCTCCATGGTAACTGTGGATGGAACAAAGACTCAGACCAGGCTGGTGAAACTCACACCTGGGGTGGAGTACCTTGTCAGTGTCATTGCCATGAAGGGCTTTGAGGAAAGTGAACCTATCTCAGGGTCACTCACCACAGGTATGTTGATTTTTGGTTTTTGTTTTTCAGAGACAGCTTGTGCATGCTATATTATCTCTCCCCTTCAGCATTACAGCTCATGACTCAGCAGCTGGGAAGAAGATTTTATTTGTGAAATCCTAATGGAAAGTTAAGTGGATGTAGAGTGTCAGGGGCCTCATTCTTTCTGACCCATCCTGGCCTCTCATAGGCTGGGTAAACTTAGGTGCAT